TTCTATTACTTTCTTAATTTTTTGTTCCTGTAATTCCTCTACTTCAGATATTCTTCCAATAATCTCTATCTTTAGTTCTTTCTTCGTCTCTTTTATCCTATTTTCTGTATATAACTTTGATTCTTCTATTTTCATCATTAAAGTCGCGATTTCTTGTTTCATTTCTTCTTTGTCGTTTTGTATTATCTGTTTTATTTCTTCTTTATTTTCTTGAAATTTATTTTCCAATTCTGTTCTCATTTGATTTCCTAATTCTATTTTATTGGTATCCAACTTTTTCTTCATATTTTCCTCAATTTTCTACGTATCCTGTTTTATTTCTTCTTTATTTTGCATCATCAATTTTATTATCATTTCCAGTTTGTCATTATTTAGACCCTCCTGTTCTAAGTTTGTATTTTCTTGTCTGTCTTCATTTCTGTTGTCTGGAGTTTGATTCTCTTCCTTATCTATTGATTCTGTTGAATCTTTTACTTTCTCTTCATTACTATTTTCTTCTACACTTTGTATTGTAAATTCTTATGTATCTCCCTGTCCTTCTTCTCCTTCTTTATCCATCTTCTTTTTTCCACTTCTTAAATCCATATGACTCATTTCTTTAAATTATTCAAACTATTTCTATAATTCACTTGTTATATTTATAAAACTATTACACCCACTAAATTGATACTTCACTATTTTAATTACGAATTTTATGTATTTTGTTGTAGATATATTAAGTATAATAAATCAAGAAATTGACAGCTGTTATTCCAACACCCTGTTATTTATTTTAATATATAATATGTACCCCACTGTTATTTATAAACCACTTATTGATTAGAAAATTTGTAATATTTTAATTTTAAATTAAAAATGTATGTGTACGCCACTATTTATTTTAATTGAGACCCACGTTGGGCGCCATATGTGATGTTGCTTAATATAAGATTTGTATTTTCTTTTTATTTAAACAATCAACACTTTACTAAAGAAAATATTAAAAAGTGATTTTAATTTGTATTCATTTAGCTCCAAATAAATAATTTTAATAAAAAGATAATCAAATTTAGTTCAACTTCTTACTCAATACATACTTATAAATGATAGTAAATATCCTTAAAAAATCATTATATATATAATGGGAAAATTTTTGTCTTTTTTCTATGCCACAGCCAACTATCCGTTCCATATAAAAAAATACAACTTTATGCTATAATTTGAATTTAACGAATTTTTAAAAAAATTGACTACGCCACTGGATTCTTATTAAAAAAGTGTCTCAAGAAGGTATACATTATTTTCTTTCACTTTCATAAATAAGCGAGATAATGCGAAATAACGAAAATTTAAAAAAAAAACACCTTTTTCTCAAAAAAAGAGATGGAGAATGGGAGGTCCATTTTTCTATTAAAACATCGAAATTTGCCCACCCTGTATTTTTCCAATTTCTTACACGCGGTTTCTTTATTAAAGGTCCCTCAACACATTCAATTTTATCATTAAAAAATTCTAGCTTTCTTTTAGCTGAAGTTATATTTGAAGGTTTAATCAAAACATCACTAATTATATTTATTTTTTTGATGAAAACATTACTTAAATCTAAATAAATCTATAATAATTAAGATTTATTAAATTTTATTCACCTACATTTTCCACAAAAATATCTGTCATCTTTTTTAGTGCAACAGCAGCATAACCTAATTTATTATCAAAGCCAGATTTACACCACCTCATAATCTGTCCTTGTATCTACAGTATCATATATTGTATTAAAGTGATATTTATAAAGATTTGCATTAGTAAAATTATTGATTTCTTTAATATATATTCGTTTATTAATCATTATACGGGTGTAAAAACAGCTTTATATTTAGTGATGGCAGCGCGTGAAGCACGATATGACAAACTACAAACAAGGAAACAAATCCCGCCTATATTATTCAAACCTTCTCTTTCAGTTTTTCTATGGGCAACCCAAAAGGAAAACTACACGATACACTGAGAAATGCTAAAATTAAAACGTGGATTTCTAAAACAATCTCCGACTAAAAGGACACCTAAGTAAACTGAGAGTAGTAGAGGATAGTGAGTGCAGATTCTGTGAGGAGGAGGACGAAACTTCCATTCATATCCTAACTGAATGTGTAGCACTCCAAAATCCAAGGGCACTATATCTAGGAGGATATCAAATAGAAGAGGGAGATTTACCTAACTTGAAGCCACTTCAAATCCTACATTTCCTTGAGAAAATAGGATTGGAAGGGTCGTTATAGGCATTGAGACATTTCCTTAGTGCATTGGCGATAGAAGGGGGCACAATAGATCTTTTAGGTCGCAGTGTATTAACACCCCATTTTCAACATACCATTATTCAAACCTTTTCCTTCAGTTTTTCTATGGGCAACCTAAAAGGAAAACTACAAGATACACTGAGAAATGCTAAAATTAAAACTTGGATTTATAAAACAATCTCCGAATGTTCCTACAGATTTTCCCTCTGAAGGCGAAGGTAGTATTAATTAATATTTTATATTATGTATATTTTTTGAGACATTGTTTTGAATCAGAAACTGAAAAAAATTGAGGAGGAAAATATGACTTAAATATAAGGAAGATTAGTAAATGGCAAGGGGGGCCACAGACATTCTTATAATCCATGAGCCTTTTATTATGGCTAATGGCAATGCAACATGGAAAAGTCTACCTAGAGCCGCCCTTGAATAGTCCAAATTTATTTTCATGTGGAAAATCTATATTAAAGGGAGAGTGCGAGAATGCCATACAAAGCCCTTCCCTCAAATAATAGAAGAATGTCCTTTATATAAACATTCTCAAGCAAATCAATTGCTAAATACCTATTAAGTAACTTAGAGTAATTAATCAATAAATTAATTTTTTCTCTCATTATAGATTTAGACTTTGATTTTCCATATCCGGGCAATGAAAATCATTTGTTTGTGAAGTGGGAAGAATTCAAAAAGTTGGCCATAATAAAATTAAACATCAAAGAATAGAAATTGGATGAAAAATATCGATCTCTACTCTTATCTTCAGCAAAGAGCGAATACAAAGTATACCTACCTACCAACAAAAATGCTAAAAAACTTAATAGATATATCTAAACAGATAACGAATTATGGATCCTATTTTTTACGTTTCCAATTCAACATAAATGGGTGTAGGTACCCTACATTGAAAAGAACTCACAATGTTCGAAAAAATATCAAGCTGAGTGCGTCAACACTCGAAAACGATCAATTAGCAGCGGTGAATGGACACCCGGGGCTCCAAAGATGAATCGATGTCTAAATGTTTTACTCTGCATGCACCTGATGATGCAATTAGTCTTCATCATTTGCGCATCGATCAAATCGGGATACGGTAAATTTTTAATCGGCATTTTGTAGACAGGAAGGACCCAACATGTTTTGATTTATAGGTTATACGTAGGTATCGCTACCCGCTACTGGTTACGAATTTTTAACGATGAACTATTGTTTGTAAATATTCTGTACTCTGACGTGGATTTTGCGTGTATTGTTAACGTATAAGTTTCTGCAACAAGTCAAACAGGTCAATAATTTTGGAATAAGAATTAGGTACTTCTTCTGTTATTCAGAAATAAGCCTATCGATAATGACTAAAATGTTTGTATTCTGAAATCATTCCTTTCATCTGAAAGAAATCCATCTTGTCCGTAAGAATATAAATAAAAAATCTAACAACTTTTTTAAATACCATTTTGAATGATATGTGAGTAATAAGGAATTTAGAGAGGGTTGAAAGTTTAATGCTGGAACGAAATTTATTTTTTTATTTATTTTTTACTCTTGACATAAAATGACGTTTTTTGTGATCACAGCAAGTGTCAAAATTATTTACTTTTTGAAACTGGTAACGAAAAATGAATTATGTCTCCAGTTGCATGATGAAAAAAATAAATATAAACCTTTATTGGTTTTAAAATCAAAATATACAGAATTATTAAAAGTTCATATCAAATAAGGAAATTTACTATATAAAAATAAAATTTGGTTAGTGAACTTACAACCTAGTAATAATCACATCACCTCCCCTTTCTTTTCTTATGTCGAATTGCTCATGCAAACAGAAAACCCTATTGTCGGGCCCCCCTATAGCGCCACCGGGCCCCCATTTGAGCCCGGGCCCCGGGAATTAGTCCCGGCTACCCCCCCCCTCTAGTCGGGCCTGGTTGCGGGACCTCGATCTGCTCGTCCCGCAAATATTCACTCATTACATAAAATAAGGTATTTCGTAACGTGTTACATACACCGAGAAAAAGATTTATTTGTAACAATTAAAATCTTATTATGTCAAATAAATATGATTTTCCATATGGCCTAACCAATATTTAATTTGTTTTTAAGAAATGATTTATTTCAAGTTCAGAAAGTAATATTGCTTAAGCAGAGAGATCCTGGACAATAAGGAGTACGCCTTGGGTGTTTTCATAGACATAGAAGGTGCTTTTAATAAAACCACTTTTCTCAACAGGAATATTCCACAGATGGTTAGTGGGTGGATACCAGTGCCGGATTTATATTTTTTATGAGTGTAGGCCACTTTATTTTCGCCGCCCCATGTACATACCTTTCTAAAATAATAATTTTCCATTTGTAGTAAAGAAGGTCTTAAAGTTAAATAAACGAATGAATTAGTCATTAAGAAAGAGCGTAAAAAAGAAACAAGATATACCTACAATTTTTTACGGGACTTTTTAATAGCAAAATCATCTATAATATCATCATAGTTTATGGTGTTCATTATCTCTGCTTCTATGTAGAGTAGAGCTAAAGAATTCATTTTTTCTTGAGACAATGAAGACCTTTGATAATTTTTCACGCGTTTTAAACATGAAAAACTCCTTTCCCCTGAACAATTTGTAGCCGGAGTGGAAAGTGCAATGCGGAGAGCTATATCCAAGTTAGGGTAAACATTAGACAGAGATTGATTCCTCAAAAACGTTGAGAGACTGAGTAGTGTGTTTGATCCGGGCTTCACTGCACACTCTGCAGTTTTATCAGAGCAAATGTGACTGTGAAAATGCCGCATTCTTGAATCAAATCGTCCTCTAAATCATTGGTATAATATTTCACGAGAGACTCGGCTTTTTCTGTAACTCTTTGTGTTGAAAGTTCAGTCATTTTTGTTAAAAATGAAAATTTTTCCTCAAAGTTTAAGTAAGCATTATGCCTTCTCTGTATTTCAGCTCTCAGTCTATCAAGGATCACCAAAAAGGTGTTCACTCTGAAATAATCTCTGTTTAGTTTTATGGTTGATTCAATTTCAATAAACGTCGCAACAATAGCTATTTCTTCGCTGTCTGACTTTATATTACTGCCACTTGTTGAAGGTCTTTCGGTGTCAGAATCAGGAGGATGAGCAGGTTTTACTGAACACGACTGATCTGACTGATTACGATGGTACAGACTCTTCACCTCAATCGGAATAGAACCTTGTTCATATTTATTTCCCTTATTACTACTAGTCCTCGAGTTCTCTTGTGCAATACGTAAACTCTCGCTGCTATTTTCACTTTTAAAAAAAGCTTCTATTTTCCTGGTCTTCTGAAGTGCATGTTCTTGTTCATCTTTTTTTATTTTGGCCTTTTTCCTGTACTCAGCGCCACTAAGTCTCTTCCTTCCATCACTCATTTTTCGACAGTTTGAGAACGCTATATATTATAGTTATCAATCTGTAAAAAAAACCACAATAGTCTTTATAAATGTCATCACGATCGTTTCAGCGGTTTAGTCGTGAAAGTGTATTAAACAAGCAAACAAATTCAGATTTACATTTATAATAAGTTGGTTGGGGTTTAATTGCAATATGTGAAAAATCTCTTATCATATAATATCATTAATATGTGAAACCTCTAATATAATTTATAAGTTATAAGAAAATATAATACTTATACGAGAAAAAGGCACATTAATATACGTACACCTAAAAGCTTGCCGAACTATTTTAGTTCCCGCGCCTAGAACTTCCAGGTCAGTCAGACTCTTAAATTTTCTGAGCTACTTATATATTTCTTTGGTTTGGCTGGCCAAAGTCATTAAAGTGAAAGATACTTTAACGGTTTAAATTTCGGTTTACATAAGGTGTAATACATACGGAAATACATAATAAGTATTTCTACATTTTTGGATTCTACATTTTCGCGGAGTTAACCGCAACCACGGAAGCTGTAAAGCATAAAAGCAACCGAAACGTCGGTCGGACTCAAAATAATATAAAAATGTAGATATACATAAATAAATCACCAATGTGAAATTATCTTTCATTTTAATGAGGGACAATTTTAATTTCATTAAATGAGTGTTAATGACAAAATATATTAGAGTATAGCACACTATTGTGTAGCACTTACCTATGTCAATAAAAACTAAAGCTTAACAACAAAGTATATTGAGAATCACTGTGATTTTTTATTCAGTAATCGTTACGTATTTTGTTTAGGTAAGTAAAGTAGGTACTCAAAGACAAGACGACGAGAGTGTAGCGTGCGTATGCGATCGGTGCTTGCAAAACCAAACACTGGTGCGGGCGTTGGGCGTCGGGCGCAGACGGCTCGAAGAGTGCGGGCGGGAAGCGGGGGTTACGTTGCCACTGCCGTCCGCCCGCCTCGCTGCTCTCATCTATCACTCACACGATAATATAAGTTTCGATAGGAATGAGTTTCTATAGGGATTTTTTTAAATTATAAAAAACCATGAGAAAACCAGTGAACGTGTTTGACTTTTATCCTCTGAACTCAAGTGACCCTCCTGTGAACTCAAGTGACCCTCCTCTGAAATCTGCCGCCCCTAGGACGCTGCCGCCCCTAGGCCGCAGCCTATACGGCCTATTTATAAATCCAGGACTGGTGGATACATAACATGCTCTTAAAGCGAGCAGTAAACATAAGTGTAGATGTTAATATAAGAAAGAGGCTTGGTTGCGAGGGGATGTCCACAGGGAGGGGTGTTATCACCTCTACTGTGGAACATGGTTCTCGACACCCTCATCAGCCGCCTCAATAATGACAGTCACTACACAATAGCATATTATGCAGATGACCTGATCATTCTGCAAATTGGGCGTTTTGAGAACATACTCTGCGAAAGAATGCAAGTACCTCCCAAAATTATAGAACAGAGGTGTAAGGCCTATTCACTGTCTATCAATCCTAAGAAGACTGAAATGGACGTTTTCACAAGGAAAAGGAGGAAAATGGAATTAAAACCTCCAGAACTCCTAAACACAAAACTAAACTTTGCAACAGATGTGAAGTACTTAGGTCTTACCTTTGACAGCAAGTTAACATGGAACTCGCATTTAGAAAACAGAGTCAATAGAGCATACATTGCTTATGAACAATACCACCGAACCGTGGGGCGCACCTGGGGTTTCTCCCCCAGAGTCGTCGGATGGACTTACATGGCTATCATAAGACCTACGCTAACATACGGTGCAGTTGTCTAGGTACCAAAAACCCAAAAATTAACAGCTATCCATAAATTAGAACAAATTCAAAGAACAGCATGTCTCAACATAACAGTAGCCATGAAAACAACACCGACCAGAGCCATGGAAGTCATTCTTAGTCTCACTTCCCTTGATATGTACATCAAGGAGGTTGCTCTGACGACAATGACACACCTCCGCACGGTTGGAATAGAACCTGATGTAGGATCTGGTGAGGCGAGACGTGGCTTTTGGCAGGAGGCGCTCGATACGGTCCCACTGCTTCAAGCAAACATGGACTCAATCTCACCGAGATATATCTTCCATAAGTCATATAAAGTTGTAACAGAACAAATAGAGGAACCGGAAGTGGCAGGTACGATTTATATCTAGACCGACGGTTCTAAAACAAAACAAGACTCAGGTATAGAATATACTTCAGATCCTTAAACCTTAACATAAAATGGGCTGTGAGCAGTAGTGCCAGTGTAGTTCAAACAGAGCTCACGAGGATTCTCGTATAGCAGCAAAAGAAATCACCGGAAACAATATCACTGGAAGAAACATGCTTATCTATACAGATAGCAGATAAGTACTACTCACTCTGAACAGACCACGAATTTATACAGGGTTAGTACTAGAATGTCACGAAGTTTTGGCCGAAGTATCCATCAAGTGAGGCCTAAGTGCCGTGGGGGTAACCCACCCTCCACACGTTATGGATACAGATAGAGAGGGTTGAAATTTCAAAAAGTTTTTATTACTAGAACAAAATTTATTATTTCAAAAATCTGTTTAAGCCATTCGATATATAATAAAATAAACAAGCAAATTTTTCAAATATCATTTTGAATGCTAATAAAAAATTTAGATAGGGTTGGAATTTAAAGTTTTTATTGCTAGAGCGAAATTTGTTTTTTCAAAAATATATTTAAGCCATTCACTGAGAGAAAAAAATAGTTTATATTTAAAATATTGTAAGTTAGGAAGAAATTCTTTAAATATTAACTGAGGAAATTTATTAATACCATAATATTATAATTATTAATAAATTTTATTAATTTTTTCTTAAACAAAACATTTGTTACAGTAAGGTATAGTAGATATTAACAAATCTTTTACTCGGCAATATACGTATATTTAAAAATAACTATTATGTTTATATAAACATTACAAATTTCTTAATATTAAAATACAACACTTTAAATATAACAATTGTGCTTTCGCGCTCTACGAAATAAATAAATTTTAATATATAGCTATGATAAGTTAATTATCAACGAATATATTTTTAATAATACCCAGACTCAACGTTCCCTTAATGCGCCGATCTCAACGTTGCCAATCACGTTTTGTGATTGCGCTATCCTAGGAAATGTAAATAATTCAAATTACCTATTAGGTACCATTTTGCAATATTTTTTCTATTTATCGTTAAAATAAAACTAGCGTAAATTAATTTAAAAGTTATCAGAGATAAGGGAGATAAAGATAGGAAACGCCCATAAGAAGCCAATGCTACAGTTCATCAAATTTCTAGAGGTGTTCGACGCCCAGACAGAGAACGCGCTACGTGTGACTAAGATAGCTATTGTACAGTCTGCTAAACAAGTTATTTTAAATAGTTTTTAATATTTTTAGGTAATTAAATTTTAAAACTATGGAATAGTTTAGGGATTAAATTGGTCTGATTGGACTTTCTTAGAACGTTTTTAAAAGCAGCTAAAGATAGTATGTAGAATTGAAAATAATTATTATGCCATAAAAGGTGTTTTGGAATTCCTTCAACCTTTTGAAATTGAGTCAGAAAATATAAATTTTATAGGATAGCGGAAAATACCTATAATTTTTTTGTAGGCCTTTGTAAATCGTGGAAATAGTTTATTAACCTTATTAAGGAAAATGGTACCTATTATTAATAACGGTTGTTTCTGAAACATTACTAAAATTTTCGAAATTTTGTTTTTCTACAAAATAATAAACTATACTATTTAGAAAAAAATTTATTTCTCTTATAATTTTATAAAAAATAACAGGGGAATATTTACATTTCTTGATCTATTAAACAAAACGATACATTATCTCGACGAATGACACCATGTTCTAGTACGGAAGCTAGCTTTACATTTTTGTTGGTGGTTTCATGGGTTTCATATCAATTTTTTGTAATTGTAGTTTACACTTACATATACCTCTTAACACTTGTTTGCTTTATTAAAAAAGTGTGTTGTTGTGCTTTACGTCGAAATAAGTCAAAAACAACTTGAAACCCCATATAAAATCAAAAAGGAGAAACGGAAAAAAATTGAGCCTGTAAATGAACACAACTCAGAAACAAAAATAGCTATCTAATAATAAAAAAATAAAATTTGATTCTTGTGCAGCTTCATCTATATCATTAACTGTTTTTGGTTTTTTAATGGTTTTTCTTGGTGATGAAAATTCCGATATCTCACGGTTATCGATTCTTTTTTTCTCTCCAGAAATGCGGACGACAGTGTTTTTAGATACTCCGGTGGCTGCAGCAACACGATCATTTACATTTTTAAATGGTATTGAAGGTGAATTAAAGTTTCCTTCTCTTCTCATAAACTCTATAACATTGGCTATTATTTCGCGAGATTGACTGTTAATCACGCGGCCTCTTAATTTGCTATTAAACTCCATACTTAGGTTCTATTAAACTGTAATGAGCAAAAAACACAAACGAAAATAAAAGAAATGTTTTAGCGAAATTTACATCTGACATTTACGTCTGAATGAAATAGTGAAATACTTGATGCGCAGAGTGTACTTTCATTGCGTAAATCCGTCGGGATGCCTGTCAGTAGTGCTTTCTCTGTCTAGCCGTCGAAAGCCTCTAGAAATTTGATGAACTGTAAACAACGACCAGCTTTATTGCAGTTAACATCTGACCCACTATGTGGCGCTTTCATCGATATCAAACAAATTTAAAAACCTGATAATAAAGGTTGCATAAATATCGACTGCACTCTCATGTTCTTGTAAATAAACTTAAACAATGTAATTACGCTAAATTATTTATTAAAAAGAATACTACACTTACAGTCTGTTATCGATTAATTATTGTAAATCTATATTCATGACAATTTTTTTTTAATTTTTGATTGTTATTTGTAACACTGCAGTTTTGTTTTTATTTTGCTATCTTATTTAAAAAGGTTGAGTGCAAATTCAATAATGG